TGTGTAGTGAGGAGGGTGGAGACGAGTGTGGAGGCGACCCAGGTGGTGAGGGGCATCGCCTGGAAGGCTAAGGTGTGAATGTTGGGTGTTCGCAGTGTGATGAGAACTATCTGTTGGGTGATTGAGGCTGAGGTGGAACGGCGAAATGCTGGTTGTGCCGATGCTGTGACTGGTCATCGCAATCATCTTCAGGTCATCTGGTGAGATTATCTCTGTGGTTGGGGGCAGCATGAACGAGGTAGTTGCTCTTAACCTTATCTACCCTCTTCATCACTTCTTACCGTGAGGTTGTGAGTTCTGTCTTGAGAGTCCTCTCATCGTGAGGTGTTGTGTGCGCTCAACCTTGAGAGTCGTGATTGTTCACGTGGAGCATCTGRGGGAAGACAGGCGGAGCTTCTTGAAGGGCCCTGGACGGAGCACTCGGGTCACGGTCACCATGCCAACCCACTGGGTGTAGTACAGGCATGCTTCGCTGCAAGTCTTGGTTCTGCTGCTTGCGCATGATAGGGGTTAACTCGAGTGTGGCAGCCTCTATAGACGGTTACCAGACCGTCTATAAACATTTCTGGCCGGGGACTCGGCTCTGATCTGGCTGTGATCGTCGTCCTGCTGCGACGTAAAATAATTCTTGATGTCACTTGGGGGCGGACGCCAAACTGCCTCTTGATCAGCCAGATCATCCGAGTGGAAGGCTCGTCGGCGTACAAGGGTCAATAAGAGTGTTGTGGCTGCCTTGCTCAACGATAACCCGGGGTACAGGGGTGGGACCGGATTGCACACCTTTGAGACACGCTTGGCTTCTGATGCGAGGAAACATGACACCGTGACATTGGGAAGAACAAAGGGAGGGGTAGATTTCAGATGATAAGTTCGGGTTTAGTTTCCAAACTGTGAACAGACCCGGTCAGTCAACATTATTTTTTTTATTGATTAGTTAGATGGACAGCCATGTGACATCTGACAGACAACATTAGTTTAGAACATTATCTATTCCTGATGTTATCTCTGTTCAGGAAATAATCTTGCTAAAAATAGTATTGACAATAGGAACCTCACTTAACTGTTGACCCCAAATGAGATCTGTTMTGATAGCCACCACTAATTAGTTGGTCTGTGTACTATGCTGCGGTAGGCATCTAGAATGATCTAGTGTGGACAATGGACAGTTCTGTAGCCTATGAGCGACGAGGAGGACACCGGAGAGGACGACCGCAGGACCTTACGATCGGTTAGAGGACGGGTATCCCATGTGTCTTTAGGACCGGAGGGTGATAGGGAACTGTTCCGCCGACAAAGGGAAAGGAGAGCTAGAGCAGCCGAGGCCAGCAGGGCATTTGCTAGCGAGGCCAGTGCTGTAGCAGCCATGGCTACCACAACCATGAGCACGTCTGCGCAGCAGACTTCCCAAGCCGGAAGTTCAGGTACCGCCGGGTCCACGGTCGTACAGACCGTGAGTCAGTCCACTGGCTTAATGGCAAGCCAGCCCGCGGTGTTGTGCCCAGAGGATGTCGCCATCCAGCAGGCAGCCCTGCAAGAGGCACAACTACGGCAGGCATTAGGAAAGATAAAAAGGGAGAAAGAGATGATGATTAGAAGAAGAGCCAGGATGCAACAGAGAGGGGCAGACATGAGGAGTTAGAGACGATGGACCTGACGCATATGGATGATGGTGTGAAGGTAGTTAGGAGGGCCCTGCTAGGCGTAATTGAGATGCAGGAGCATCAAACTACCCTCCTTCAGGACATTCAACAAAGCGTAGCCGTGTTGGCAGGCCGTGCTCAGGCAGCACCATCACCAGCAGGGCCTGGTGCCTGGCCCGTGCCATATCCTCCTCTTTCTGTTCCATCAGTGACTGGGGTATCCCCATATGTAGCCCCTTCATCGGTTGCTATCGTTTTCCTGGGCATGCCTCTGTCAGGAGGGGTAACAGCAGGGAGTAGTTTGCAGGTTCCTGTTCAGAGAGTGTTTACTCCAAGTCCGTCACAGGCTGCAGTCACCACGCGGCCTGCTGTCTCACAGTCAGTGCAACCTCAGGGCACACAGCCCCAGCAGTTAGCACAACAACCTGTATCGCGGGGTCCACAGACCGGGTTGGTGCAGGGCCCGGGACAAAGTCAGTGGGTTCCAAAGACGGCCATCGCCGCTCCCAAACCCTTTACAGGGGACAAGAGAGGCGAATATCTCGACACATGGTTGAGGGCAGTGCCGGTCTATGTCAGGTGTAAACTCACCTTGCCATACGAAGAAGTGCTTGTGGCTGCTTCCTACCTGGAGGGTAGTGCAGCGAGATGGTTGAGTGGGTTAGTACAACTCCAGGGGTACGGTCATGACTTCCGCTCTTGGGCAGCCTCTCAAAAATTGGAGGACTTCCTGAAAATGGTGGAAGACAGGTGGCATGATCCGCAGGAGGCTCAAAAGGCCACTGATGCGATCCTGACATTGCACACGCGGCAGTTTAAGTCGGTAAGGGATGCCACCGACGTTGTAGAGCATTTGATTTGTGTTCCAGGGGTAAGCTATGACCCCCAAGTACTGCTAACTTCGTACCTGAGGACCTTATCTCTGCCGCTCAGGAACCAGTTGGSGAAAGAGGCCAACATTAATATGCACAACTTTCCTTCGTTCAGCAAGGTGGCCCTAGACCTAGAAGCAAAGATAGGGCATGGACAGGCACCCACTAAGGAAGGGAGAAAGAAGACACTGCCTCCCAACTGGAAGGCGAAGGGTCGCTTAATGTTTGTCGACAATGATGGTTCAACCATCCAGTTGGACGGCAGCCTCTAGGAGGGAGAAGGTGCAGAGGCAGGTGGCGATACTTCAGAGGGTGGAGTAGTCGCCGCCGTAACCTAACAAAAAGATTAAGGGACCGGTAGACGCCCTAGGGGATCCCGGTCGAAGAGTCAAACAGACCCCAATGCTCCTCCATGGGAGAAAGCGGGTCTA